GACACGGGATACACGCTGCAGCAAAGGGTTAGCTCCCATCACCATAATCATCATCATCATTGTTGTTGAGCGCTGCCAAGGCGGTTCCAACTCATGGTGGTGGTGGTGGCAATGTGCTGTGGACTCGGTTCCGACTCATGTGACCCTGTACAGCGTTTCTGAGGAGCGGCTGGGGAGTTTGAACCGCCGACCTTGTGGTCAGCAATCTGGTGCTCCTCCTGTGGTACCACATCAGGGCTCCGTCATTACACCTCACCGTCATTACATCTCTATAAATTACATTTCCATATACATTTTTCATATCCATTCAATTGCTCACGATTGCTGTTGCTCAGAGAAAATTTAATAAAGTTGGAAAACACATATTTTAATTGTGGTCTGATTTTCAGGGTAATATCAAAATCTTGCCTTGGATTAGTCACGCTATCGAAATGAGCCTCCGTTTCTACATCCGACACAAGAAAAGGATACTATTTGTCTTAGCTACCTCACACAGCTAAGCTAGCAAGAAAACAGAGATAGTTTAAAAGAAGAAAGGAAGAAAAAGAGGGAGAGAAAGAGAGACAAGGAAATGAAAGAGGAGGGGAGAGAGAAGAAAGTAGTGAGAAAGGAAAAAGGGAGAAAAGGAACAAAGACTCGGAGAAGAGCAGGATAGGGGAGGGGTGGGGCTGAAGGGAGGGACACTAGGCCCTGCAGATACTTAGTGCTTTGGGCACATAATGAACTTAATCCTCTTAAACTTAAAAAATAAAAATAAAATTTTATTGCTAGAATACTGAAGAAACTGAATGGATCCCACCCGAAATGTTGGTTCTGATGTCAAAATCGGTGCTATCACACATACACACCAAGAGGGTATCAAAACATCTGGTGGTAATAGTGGCTGTGTGCCATGAAGTCAGTTCCGACTCATGGGTTCTATGAAGAAAAACGTGGCATCAGGATTGGAGGAAGACTCATTAACAACCTGCGATATGCAGATGATACAACCTTACTTGAAGAGGACTGAAAATACTTACTGATGAAGATTAAGGACCACAGCCTTCAGTATGGATTGCATCTCAATGTAAAGAAAACAAAAATCCTCAACACTGGACCAATAAACAACATTCTTATCAATGCAGAAAGGACTGAAGTTGTCAAGGACTTCATTCTTCTTGGATCAACCATCAACACTCATGGAAGCCGCAGTCAAGAAATCAAATGACATATTGCATTAGGCAAATCTGCTGCACAAGACCTTTTAAAAGTGTTCAAGAGCTGAATAATAAAGATGTCAGCTTGAGGACTAAGGTGCGCCTAACCCAAGCCATGGTATTTTCAATAACCCCATATGCATGTGAAAACTGGACAGTGAATAAGGAAGACCGTAGAAGAATTGATGCTTTTGAGTTACGGTATTGGAGGAGAATATTGAAAGTGCCATGGGCTGCCAAAAGAACAAACAGATCTTTGTTGGAAGAAGCACAGCCAGAGTGCTCCTTGGAGGCCAGGATGGCCAAACTTCGTCTCTCATACTTCAGACATATTGCCAGAAGAGACCAGTTGCTGGAGAAAGATAATCATGTTTGCTAAGGTGGAGGGTCAGAGAAAAAGAGAAAGACACCCAGCGAGATGGATTGGCAAAATGGGCTCAAGCGTGGAAACAATAGTGAGGTTGACCCAGCATCAGGCAGTGTTACGTTCTGTTGTGCACAGGGTCGCTATGAGTAGGTCCGACCCAATGGCACCTAACAACAACAACAACATAGGATTTCCAAGGCTGCAGATCTTTCCAGGTGCAGAAAGCCTCATCTTTCTCCTGCAGAGCAGCTGGTAGATTTGAACTACTAACCTTGCAGTTAGCAGTCTGGCTTGTAATCCACTACACGAATAAGTCTACTGTTCACATAATGTGGCTTCCTGGGAGAGAGCTGGAAATGGTTTTCAAACACAGGTAGAATCCAGTCGTATTTCAGAAACAAGTCCAAAAATGGCTTGAGAGAGCAGAGGAGGCTTTGGCTGGCTTGGGCTTGTCTGGTTTGAACCTTCCTTTGGTGCCAAAGGAAGGAGCCCCTGGGCTTTCTTACCAGCTCATCTAGCTATAAGGCAAGGACGTAGGGTGGTATAATCAGTTTGCACTGGATGATTAACCTAAAGTTTGGGTGACCGAATTCACTCAGCTGCACTAAAAGGGATGGATGTGGCTGTCACCAAATGTCAAAAAATGGAATCTGATTCATTATTACAAACCGTGAGGTAGATTTCGTCCTTAAACCAAGAAGGTTTAAATCACCTGTCTTGGCACATTCAACAAGAATCACTCCACTTCAGAACCCACATGCCAGCCCCCTTACCCCACGGGGTCCCCATGGCTTGTAAGGAGCAGAAAGCCCTTCATCAAGCAAGGCAGGAAGCCTGGCCCAACTCCACAGGCTTGTCCAGCCAACCACCAGAAAGGCAAAAGCTACTTGCGTCCGTTTTAGTCTCCATTAGTGGTTGGTGATTTTCTTAATATTCTATGCACAGACAAAACTAAAAAATTTCAGAGCTAAGTTCTCACGTTTCCATTGCTAACACACTGTCTTTGTAGTTGGTGGAAGGAGGAGGGAGACACTTTCTCTTGAGCAAATTCTCTTCACATACAGATACAACTCCACGTTCCATCAATCTCATAGCATAAGGTTTTATTTCAGCAACCACACTGTCCTAAATAGCTAACAATCATCTTCTTTATTTGTAATTGGATGGGGGTTTTGTTTGTTTTTTAATCTATGTAATTTCTCTGTTGAGATTGTTTTTTGTTCTGGTTTTGGAGGGTGTGTTTTTCCCCCATAGAAAATGAGAGTGTACAGGATCATGAAAGATTAAATCGAAATCATCAGGAATCCATTTTTTGTGGGTTAAAAGGTTCTGAATCACCTCACTTAAGTTCTCTTGGGTAACCAAGCCTGATCAGGTTCCAAATTGCTAAGCTTTCCTGTTAGAATTACAGTGAGTTCAGTTCACTCTCCAATTCAGGTCTCAGAATACGGAATACTGCCTCTCCTCAGAAGAGGAACTGAACAGCCTGCCTCAAATGAGAGCTAGTCAGGAAATGTGAGTCTGGCTTGAAGCATTTATAATATTTATGGATGAGTTCATGACTGCCTTCTGGATCAATTACATTAAAAAGGATACCTTAGGACAAATGGAAATACATCTGCTTCTCTGCTAGTCATCTTTAGGAAGCATAAAAGATCTCTTTCCCTTTATTGAAGATTTCTTATATCCATTTTCTAAGTCATCAAAAGCACCTCTGAGTTGCGCTAAACTCCCAATGTCCAATCTTTATTCCGAGTTACTTTTTAACGCAACATGCCCTTCTAACTAACCTACCTTCTCCCTTCATGCCTACTACACTCTGGGGCCAAACCAACTATTTCTTTCAAAGATGGAATTCAGTCACAACAAGGGAAGAGCAGTTTGATAGAATCATCAAGACAGTTCATTTCCTCTGGAGAAGTCACAGAAATCATCAACCAACACAGAAAATTTGTATGAGGCCATTCTTTGGATTTTCAGTTGCAGCTCCTTTTAAAAAATTTTTTCAAAAGCAGGATTTTGTTCAAATGGTTAGAATGGATGTTTCCCCAAGCAGCTGTTCTGTCCTAAGCCTACTTCTGTTGGTCTCTCTCTCTCCCTCTCTCTCTCTCCCTCTCTCTCTCTCTCTCTCTCTCTCTCTCTCTCTCACACACACACACACACACACACACACACGCACACACCACAGTCATTTCCTTTGAGAAAACTAAACCTTTTTGAAACCAGTTAACAAAGAGAAAAGAGGACAAGGTTGAAAAGATGAATTCAGGTTGCTAATTTGCTACTAAAGGGAAAAGAAAAATACAACTAACAGCAAAATTCCAGTGGGCAAGGTCAAGTCCTCAATTCCTCTTACCTCTAGAAAACAATTACAGCTGATCCTATACAAAGAGTGGCCTTTTCTCCCTCTGAAAAAGAGCTTATCTGAGCATTCTCCAAGCAGCTCCTTCAAGCGTTTTTGCTAAATTTCTATGAAACAAAACTCCCCCATTTCTAAGCATATGAAGGACAGCATCTATCTCAAACATGTTCCCCATTTTTTTAGTTGAATTTAATTATTTGAGACAAGTTCCTTATTAGTTCCTGTCTTGGAATGGACACAAGGTTTTTCTAGCTGCACGTATAGGACCACATAACCGCCGGTTAATAGGTTAGTAAGTGTCAACGAGCTTTAACACACTGATGATGCATCCCATTTATTGACTTCTGCCAAAATCTCTTGGAAACCCCACACCCATGGACGGCCACCAGCCATATCTCTCGGCTCTCGCTGTCCTTGGCGTCCTCTAGTTCCCAGCACCCCGTTCACGCTCAGGTTACCCACCCCAGGCATATGCCTCAGGAGCGGGACAGGGTGGGAGAGAACGCAGCAACCCCACAAGCAACTGTCCCCTCAAATCCTCCGACTGTTTCCACACCCCTCTAGAGCCCAAAAAAGGGCAGGCCCCAGGCCACAGGGTGCAGCTGCGCTCTCGGTCCCTGACTGTCAGAACCCTAAATCACATCAGGAAAGGAAGAAACTACTGGACCACCTGGCCCGGACCCCGCCATCACCTGCCACCCACGCGGAGCGCCCTGGAGACACGCAAGGGCCAGGGAGACGCGGAGCAGTGGCGTTCCAGGTGGGCACCGACACCAAGCTCCATCGGTACGTGGCTCGGCCGGGCGCGCCACTGTGTGACCAGCGATCTTGCTAAGAGTACCTAGACGCGGGTGGCTGCCGGCCCTGGAGCGCGCAACCAGAGAGTCCTGGGCTGGCACCTGCAGAGTCAACCTGGAAATCTGCATCCACGCGGGTCGAGAGCACGGATCCACCCCCTCCCGAAGAAAAAGAAGCCAGGGCCGGGCATGCGGGAGCCCCGCGCGGGCGGAACGCAACGATTAGTGGAGCCAGGCGGCGGGTCCCAGGTCCCAGACGCGCAGTCGCCTCCACTCACCTGACAGCGGGCGCCAGAGACCCCAGCGGGGCAGGTGCAGCTGTAGCCCGGCTGGCCGGCGGCGGCTGGGGTGCACACGCCCCCGTTCTGGCAGGGCTGCGCGGCACACGGCTCCGGTGCTGGCAGTGGCGCGGAGGGCACCGGGCCGGCCAGGCAGCCGGGGCCGATCAGCAGCAGCAGCAGCAGGGCCGGTACAGGCAACAGCGGCGCGGCAGGCAGGAGCAGGCGCCGGGGCGCCAGGGCGCGGCGGGGCGACATGGCCGTGCGACGCGGGCGCGGAGCTGGATCCGGTGCCGAATGGAGCTGGGCGCGGCAGCTACGGCTGCAACAGCGGTGAGGCTGCTGGGTGGGCCGGGCGCCTCCAGCAGCTGCCGATCCGAGGTTCCCAGGGCAACGGCGGGCGGAGCCAAAGGGGCGGGACCACAGGGGAGGAGCCTGTAGGGGCGGGGCTAGAGTGGACCCTTGGGGGCTGCGACTGCTGCCTGCAGATCCCGGGCTCTAGGGCTCTTCTCCCTGACACTCGCGGACGACCTTCCAGTCCTTGGGGACTTCAGCCTGGCCCCAAGGAAGGGCCGTGGACACCCTTCCCCAGTAGGGAATTGGAGCTGGAGAAGCAGGGGCCCTGGTTCTGAGGGGTGTAGGATCAGACTCTCGGGTACGTCAATTAACGACCCCTGGGAGCGTCTGTGGGGCGTGGCTTGGACGGGAGGGAGGAGGCAGGACGCTGCTCAGCGGGCAAGAGGATCGAGAGATCGCGCAGGTGGGAGGGCGAACCTCTCTAGCTATGAGAGGGAGCAGCGAGGGCGCCCCCCATCGACTGGGCAGGGGGGCGCGGGGCCCGGGGATGGGCATCTTCTTGGCGCAGAAATTGCCAGGCCTCCGCTGGCCCAGCCGGACCTCTTTCCCGAGGCCGCTGCCCCTTCCCAGGGCCCGTCGGGCGCCCACACGACCCTCCCCGCACCGCTCCGCAGCCCCGCGCTCTGCCACAGCTGGGCTGTGGGGCATGCACGTAATTAACCTCGTGACTGCCCGGAGCTCCCCGAGGGGCCCTGTCCTTGGTGCTGACCGCGGAGTCTCCGTTCTTTCAGGGAGAGCCAGCCGCTCCATGCAGAAATGCCTGACTCTGCCAGTTGAGGGTTGGAAGAGGCCGCGGGATCATTGTGTCCAGCCCTGCCGTTGACCATGGGAGGAAACTGAGGCCCACAAGAGTTGGACTGGCACCCAGTGGGTCAGTTGATTTCTAGCCCAGAACGTCACGAGAACTGAAAAACAGTACAGAAAGGCAGGATTGACCACAGGGCTCTGCGTTAAACGAGCATCTACTTCAGGATGGCGGGGTTAGGCTGGCTTGGGGGGCAACGGCCAAGGTAAAGCTCCGATGGATAAATTACAGCAGGCATCATCTCTCCCACGTGGTCATCGCAACCTCTGCTATGCATATATAGGCTCCCAGGTACTTGTGACCTTTTTTTAAGGTGCACAGGTGAAAAAGAAAATGTGACGATTTTGATTGACAGTTTGGGTGCATTTTGCGTTAGCAACCACAAAAAAATCGTTGTTAAGAGGTGGGCAAATAAAATAAAGACAGGGCATGAGCCCTTGCATGTAGGTGCCACAGAAAAACCGTCAGGGGCTGCCAGGAGAAACAGGCAATCTGCCCATCCCCTCCCAGTCCATTTCGAACCCAGGAGCAAATGTCAGACTTTGGCACCTTAGGAGGATGTGTCATATCCACAGGGCCGTTGCAGGAAATCAGTGAAATCTAAACTTCCTTTGGCAGGGTCTTAGCCTAGTGACTTCCTACCTCCAAGTGGATGGGAACAGTTAGTACAGTCCCCCCACCCCCACCCCCCAGCACCTGCTGTCTGTCATCTGAGACCTCCTCCTTTTACAATTTTAATTGTATGTCTCACCAGCTCCCTCTGCTGGTACTCGTTCCTCACTCAGGTGTTTTTTCACCCACTTTTGTGAGATCTTTTCTAAAATTCCTCTTACCTTAAATCCTGGACTGATGGTCTAATGTTTTCATTCCCTTCCACCACTTCAGACACAGATATGCAGCAAAATTTACTCTAACGAGTGCCGTGAACAACTTAAAAATCACACTATGATACTGTTTGCCTAAGCAACCCCTAAGGAGCTTTGGTAGCATAGTGGTTACAAATTGGTCTGCTAACCTCAACGTCGGCAGTTCAAAACTACCAGCCATTCCACAGGAGAAAGATGAAGCTTTCTGCTGTTGTAAAGATTTACAGCCTTGGAAATCCTGTGCAGGGTCACTATGAGTCGGGCGACGCCACGGTACTTAACAACAACAAAGCAACCCCTGTGAATTTCATATCACTCTGAAATATATAAAAACAAATAGTGGTTTTAGTTACCAAGATGTTAATTTCTGAACTTTTCCAGATAATGCTTAACATTTTCTGTTTAAGTTTTAAAGATTATCTCAGGGCTGTAGCTTTAGGATTTCTAGAGCCTTTGGTGGAGCTGTGGGTTAATGCGCTGGACTGCAAGGTCGGTTTGGACTGCAAGGTTAGTGGTTCAAGCTCACCAGCTGCTCCTTGGAAACCCTATACAGGGTTGCTATGTGTCGGAACCAGCTCGTTGGCACTTACCAACAATTCTTACTTTAATCTCTGTTGATAATGTTGTTGTGTGCTGTTGAATTGGTTCCGACTCATAGTGACCCTTCATAGGGTTTCCAAGGCTTTAAATGTCTGTAGGAGTAGAAAGCTTCATCTTTCTCCTGAGGAGTATCTTGTGGGCTCAAACCGCTGACTCTGTGATTCACAGTCCAGTGCTTATCTTATGGGGCTACTTCACTCCCCGTTTTAAACATATGGATGTGATGGCAGAGTTGATCCAAACAGGAAGACTCAATCTTCTTCCAGTCTGGGACCATGTGATCAGTTCTGACCAATATAACATGGTCTCTTATAATAAGGCCTCAAAACAGCCACACACTAAACACCATTCAAGTGTTGGCTACTGTTCTTACTCTTACCCTCCCTGAAAAGTAGGTCTTTTCTATAGGGTCTGAAGGCTGATCTGGCAGTTGTCTCCAAGTTCACCATTATCTTGAAAACCTCAAATGCCCCGCTAAAGAGTCCAACTAATGTATGACTTCTTACTTGAACAGACATGATTCAAATAACTTTGGCACTACATTTGAATGAAAGCTAAAAAAGAAAATCAATTGTCTAGGTCTTTGGTTCAGATTAGAAACCCTGATGGTGCTGCAAGTTAAGGACTGCACTGCAAGCCCCAAGCTCAGGGGTTCAAACCCACCATCTGCTCATCAGAAGAAAGATAAGGCCCTCTGCTTCTGTACAAATTGGACACCCAAAGGTGCAGTTCTGCACTGTCCTATAGGGTTGCTGTGAATCGGTACAGACTCAATAACATTAGGTTTGGTTTGGATTTGGGTGTGATACAAATTAAGAGTCCCTGTGGAATGGTTAAGCCACTTGGCTGCTAACTTAATGGTTGGTGATTAGAATGCACCCAGACATACATTGGAAAACAGGTCACAGCCAATGAAATGCCACAGCTGTTGAAACCACTATGGTGCACAATTCTCTGAAACACACAGGGCTGTGTAACCATGAGTCAGAAGTGACTCACCAGCAATTGGCTTGGCTTTAATTTGGTTGGTTCCTATTATTCTGCAGTTATGGAATACATCTCTACTCTAAGCCAGCTCATTTCCTCTTGTGACAGAGAGCCTACATTGAGAAGTCAAGGACAAAATAGCCAAATAATGTGTCTTGATTTGAGCATAGAATTGAACAGTCCTCATGATAGGCTTAGGGAGAAAGTGGGAAGCATGTATACAGAGAAAGTTCAGTTAAGTGGACTTGAAAGTATTTAATAACTGTAACCTGAACACACTAATCAGAGGCTCCTTACCAGTCTACAGGAGGATTTTAGGGAATTGTTTGGCTTTTTCCTAAAATGTATTTAAACGTCTCTTTGTCATCAGTGGAGGACTACGGAAAAGTTCTCTCAAGAATACGCATGTCTTAGTCTCATCAAGGTAAGTTCAAAAATGGTACAATCAAAACAGTAGCTTCCAAGGGTATCTGTCAGGCCAGTTCAATTCAAGGCAAAGAGGTCACCTTAGAAAGGATGGCAACTCTTTTTAGGAATCTCAAAGGGGTGATCTTGATAGATAATGATATCTTAGGCATTAGTGAGCTGAAATGGACTGATATTAGCCATTTTGAAACTGACAACCACATGGTTTACTATGCTGGGAATAGCATATTAAAGAAGAATGGTGTTGGATTCCTTGTCAAAAAGAACATATCCAGGTCAGTCATGAGGTACAACGCTGTCTGTGATACGATAATATCCATGCACCTACACAGAAGACCAGTTAGTATCACTGTTAGTCAAACTTACGCACCAACCACTAAAGCCAGTGAGAATGAAATAGAAGAATTCTATCAACTTCTTCAATTTGAAATTGATCAAATATGCAATCAAGATGTATTGATCATTATTGGTGATTGGAATGCAAAGGTTGGAACAAAGAGGAAAAATCAGTAGTTGAAAAATATTGCCTTGATGATAGAAATTATG